TCGCTCGCATCATCCAGGTGGATGCTGCACACTGGTGGTGGATGAGGAGATACCCCCTGACAATGTAAAGCGCTTTGAGTGCCTAGAAAAGCGCTATATAAATGTAATGAATTATTATTATTATTATTATTATGTATGTATGTATGTATGTATATATATATATTCAAAATCCTTCATCACTTGAATTAAGATGATCAAATTTGAACATATCCACCACAAAATCATACTTTAGTACCGCCTTTTACTTTGAGATTGATCTGAAGTACTTTGCACTTATATATTGTTGCTCTTTTGTTAGTTTTGACTGCTTTTATTGTCCTCATTTGTAAGTCGCTTTGGATAAAAGCGTCTGCTAAATGACTAAATAAATAAATAAATAAAATAAATAAAATCTGTAACCTATTACATTTCCAAAGTAACTTTCCCAACACTGAACATTCATGAGGTTATGATCATCAAATGATATCTAATTAGCAATGATTTTCATAATTTTATTTTAAATAGTAAGCTTAACTTTGTAGTGCTTTTTTTTTAAAATTTCATTATACATCAAGAACTAAGAAAGAAAGAAAGAAAATATCCATAACAAACATTTATTACAATTATTTTTCCAAATAAAGAATGTTCTCCATAAATCCACTGAAGACTGTTAAAAAAAAATATATATAGTAATAGTAACGATATAGTAATTTTAGATAACTGAGTTTGTTTTTCTTTTTCTTTGACGGTTCAAGTCTTGACTTCCTCGCTTATTCCTCCTCCATAACACACAGGCAATGATACCGACAATGACAACAGTACAGACAATGGCTACAATGATAATGAGTTTGTCTTTGGACAGACCTTGACTCACAGCATTACCTCTACTTGTGTCCTCTATCTCTTCTGAGACTGTTGTGGAGTCTAATGTTTTGTTTGGGGAAGTGTGCAGTAAATTACTTTCTGTAGGTTCACTGTAAGCCTGTGTACTTTCTGATGAAATATCAACCGTTGTCGAAGTTGCTGTTTGGCTGACCATGATGTCATCCTCCTTCAGCTCTCTTATATTTCTACCATTTAGGGCCGGAGGAGTATAGCACATCAGAGAAGTAAGGTTCTTTACTTTCTCTGGATACTGTACAAGCCAATCCTGAAAAGGTATTATGTCATGGTCACACTTCCAGGGATTTTGATAAACTATAATATTATCAACTATGGACAAAGAGTTTAGAAATTCATTCTGCAAGTTTGGTAGAGAATTGTTTTGAAGCTCCAGGAGATGTAAATGGGACACACCATCCAAGAGTTTTATGGGTATGTGATGTATTTGATTGTTCTCTAAAGATATGTTAACTAACTTTGGAAGACCTTTGAATATTCCCGCCTCAATATTGGTAAGTCGATTAGTGTGAAGAGAGATCTCCTCTAGCTCCATCAAGCCATTGAAAGCACCCGGAGAAATGTGCTGAATCTGGTTCCTACTAAGCACCAAAAGGCGAATCTCAGTTAAATTGCTAAACACATTCTCCTCGAGGTGGGTTAACATGTTGTCATATAGCCAGAGCTCCTGGAGGGCCATTGTCCCAAAAGTCACAGGCATTAACCTACTGACTTGGTTCTCGTACAGTGATATATGAGTAAGATTGGGAAGATAAAAAAAAATTGCACTGGGAAGCAATGATAACCTATTGTTGGAGAGGTAGAGTTTCTTCAGCTTTGGCAAGTTTGAGAAAAGATTTGCTGGTAGCTGTGTGATTTTGTTGTCTTGAAGATGCAATGTCTCAAGATTCACCAGGTCATCAAAGATGGCTGCTGGTGTATCTGTTAAATGATTCTGTTGCAGGAACAGGGCTTTGAGATGATTGAGTCCTTGAAAAGAACTGCTGTAAAGCTTTCTGATTGAGTTTCTCTGCAACATGAGCTCTTCCAGCTTTACTAAACCCTGAAAAGCATCTTCTGGCAGAGAGGTTAGAAGGTTTCTGCTTAGGTCTAATTTGTTCAATTCTACAAGAGGGGTGAAAAGAGATGGTTGGAGAACTTTGGAGCATTTTGGTTGGAGCATTGTCCCACTGAAACCTAAAGCGATGAGATTTCGGGTTTGGTCAAATGAATGAGGTTCCACCACAGCTAATCTTGAGTCCTTGGCTACAAACACAGTGAGGGTCTCAGCGAAAGTCTCAAAATCAGCTGGTTTTAATGATTCTATCCTGGTGTTGGAGATGAAGAGGGTTTTGGTGGTTGGTGGGATGGAGGGTGGAAATTCTTTTATTATAAACCCTTGGCAAATGATTTTGCTTGTCCCACACTGGCATTCTCTGGACATGCAGAGGCAATCGCATTCATGGCACTCATGCCAATAATCATGTACCAGACCGGATCCATTGATTCTACAAAGAAAGCAGAAATTATGTCATTCTTTACACAACTAAGAAGTGCCTTATCAAATTATGGTCTTTTTTATTACAGTTTTTCTGAATTGCTAAAACACGTTTCTTGAAACCATCACTAATTTTCTCAAAACCTTAAACACAAATCCAAATACTCAAACTAAATTCACAAAACCTCTGACTCTTCCATCAAAATCAAACAATTAATGTAAAACCATTTCACTTGCACTCAAAATCAAACGGTGCTCTCAGATCACACACACATGAGTCAATAAAATAAACACTACAGAGCATTCATTAGACACTACAGAGAAAAATGGAGAACACAGCATCCAGAACATTACAGAAAAAAGTATATTGTATTGAGTAAACAATTTTGCAGTTCTGCAAAAAAAGTATAGTAATTAAAACTGAGTAAGGTGAATATATTGTATAGGCCTACTGTATGTACTGTATGTGCAAGAATAGTATTGTGCTGAATATTGAATAGAACTGA